CTAAGTCTTCTGGCAAATACTAGCCTCGTTTTTGATAGGCATAAAGCAATGGCAGGCAAAATCACTCCAGCATTAGCAGCTCCTATCTCAGCTATGAAAGCCTGTAGCTCATTCAGAGCCGATCATTCGTGGACATTTTTGGAGGACGGGCTACTTATCCTCTACTTATATTTTTGCTTTACTATTCAGTGCCTTTGTGTGTTGTTCGGTGGCTCCACATCAGCCTTTTCTTTGAACATGTTTAAATTTAGTTCACATGCTAGTTCTCTGATAGGTACTTTAAATACGATTGTGTCACAAGGTGTGTTTAGACTGAATGCAAAGTGAATTTTAGATGTGTCATCATTGCAAATGAAGCCAACAGAAAGACACACAGCACAAATAGACAAATGCAAATTTTCAGCGGAGGATGTGAATTGAAAATGTTTTAACTGAAATGCGTAAAGAACATGTTGTCCTGATCTTTGTGACTCCAGTTCATGAACATTTGTAGGTAATAAAAAACAAAACGAAATGAGCGCGTACTGGTGGGAAATTATTATTATAGATTCGAAAGCGTGTGTGCAGTCGCAGAAACGCACAGTTGCTACATATGTTGGTAGTTAACAGCTACATCTGTGCAGCTGATCTATTTGCTGTTGGCGGTGAATAAACTGTGTTCACATTTGCACAAAAATGTCACCACTAGATTGGACTGCAATGTTCCTTTTGTCATAATATGCTCGTAAAGTCACAATCTGCGTGAGAAATGATTGTGGTTAACTGCTAGACCTCAGTTGCAATTCACCCAGAATCACAAATATGCTTCAGGGACTGCACACTGGATGTCCCTGCTTTTATTTCACAAGTTACAGGAGCCGAACAAATCGACCAGCGCCTGCTTTCAGCACACTGACTCAGGCGGCTGCTGCAGTTAAATGAGCTCCAGGCTTGTCGCTGGTGTCCTCCCTTGCAGCAAACCGTTTTTTCTACGGCAGCCTGGAGAATGCATAGCTAGCGCCACCAGTGGAATGATGAATTCTGCTGTTTTTTTTTATGTGAATTTCCGTGGATGCATGCATGGCTAATCTCCATACACAGTACTAAGGGGATTAAGAATGCTCTCTAACCCCCGGATGAAGGTCCACAGCACCTTTGTGACTGATCCACCATTTTTTTACTCCTCTGTCATTTTATCTCTTATCCTGCTTATCTCCCCTTTAACGCACATTTTTCACTCTGATCTCTTCTCTGCCTAGTAACTTAATCCTAAACGTCCCTTCTCTCTTCTTTCTGTGCCTTCTTCTCTCCTTTTGCTGTAGTCTTGCACAAAATCTACATTTCATGTGTTTATTTAGCCTGAAAGCATTAAAACAAAGGGAACAAAGGGAAGGCAGGTTTTGTTAGAGATGAAGGTGAGGCTTACTTACTCATAGAGGAGGCCGGTCGACCGCTCTGGTCCAGGCATGGATCGATATTAGGTGATGTAGGAGCCGGTGGGGGGTGATTGTGGGGGCAGCAGAGGGGCTAATCATTTCAGTCATTACGCAGCCGTGTCTCCTGATTCCTGGGATTAGCAGGCACAGAAACACGGGAGATGTTGTGTTAGTGCTACATGAGACTCTATCGGGGATTTGGAATGTGGAAAATACTGCCTGTCCCAAGTTGCTTTTGGTAATTGTGTCTGCAATACTGAGAATGGGGATCTGGGGAAAAGTGCGTGAAGTGTTGGCTGCAGTTCTATGGAGAAAAGGACAGAAAGAAGCAGGCATGGAGATAATCCTGGCATCTGTGCCATGTATGCGTGAATACACATGTAAGAAATACAAGCGGGCGATACAGAAACATGCATGGGCTCGCTGTCTCTGTCTCCCTCTCCTTCTCCCGTGTGCAATTGTGGGAGAGTAGAGTCGTGGGAGAGCTTACATGCTCGCCTGCCCACAAGCCTTTATTTGAAGCTGATCATTTGACAGAGTACAGAAAGGCTGGAGAGGCTGGCTAGTTCTGGTGCCTCCAAGAACTGAAAATTGCTGCAACGTGTGTGTGTGTGTGTGTGTGTGTGTGTGTGTGTGTGTGTGTGTGTGT